AAAACAAGTCACAGAAAGTGAAACGGAGTGCTTTGGGTTTTGTGGCAAAGACTGTTAGTCCTCTTCTTCGACACACAGCTAGTCCACATTTCCGTCTTGCTTGCAGTCGGATGTCGCCTTGACTGAGCTCCAGCCAACGGAATGTGAACAAAAGGAATGCATGACTCCTCCAGGCCTGGCCTGGAAACACCACTCCTGCTTGTTCCTCGGTTCCCTGCTCCCTTCCAGTTAACGGGGAAGGGGCTCCCCAGGCCATCCTGAGAAGCCACATATTCAAAGAGGAAGAGCGTCCAGCAGCATGGGTCCTTGGATTACTGCTTTAAAGAGCGCTCTCCTCCCCCCTAACTTACACACACACACTCTCCAAAAACCTGGAACCACCTCACATGGTTACATGATGGAGACATGAACTTTGATGGTGAGGTCAGGACACGTTTGCCTCTATTTGTTACTGCAGCCAAGCTTCCTGACCGGTCCAGGATCATTGGAAATTGATACCCAATAATTTCCTTTCTTCTCCCACGTTTACTTATCAGAATTTATGCCGAAAAGTCCTCTAAAAACTTACAGGTTACAGACCTAAATGGACAAGATGAAGATAATAAGTGCCTACAAGTCCTGGAGGGAAAGATTATTATTAAATAACTGCTTTTTTAAAAATTACAAATCGAGGTAACTCTCTAGTACAAGGTACCCAAGTGGAGAGACTGCTCATAACGAGAACCGCAGAGGGCAATTCTGCTAATCTAGATAACTCACTGAGTCACCCCACCTCATCTTGGTAGTTCCCACAGCCTCTCACTCGTCTCCAAGGGGCTCTGTGAAGATCATCAAGGGGACACTTTCCCTCTTGTGTTTCCTGTGGACAGGGCAGAGAGGCATGGCAATGGAGGCCATTACCACAAGGTTTTAGAGAATTCACAGGTCAAACTGCAACCCATGAGACGGAAGAGCCCAATGTAAACACAGTTAACAGTGTCACTCCCCAACTGCAGTACTGGAGCAAGTGTGCATTCAAGCCGGGAGGCACTTTGCCATAATAAAACCACTCTGCATGTCTCTGAGATACTTGTAACGATTATTTGTATAATTATGTATTTAATATGTCATACACAAATTATTATTACTGTAGTATACTTTATTGTTATATTATTAACAATTGTTGGTGTGTGTACTAATATGTCTTCCACGCCCCGGCTGAAAGCTCTGGGGTCTGGTGGGAGGGAGGGGGGAGGAGAGAGGAACTCAGCCCCAGCATCCCACACGTACTGCAAAGTAACTATCGGTTAAATGAACAAATGCACAACCACAGCGCTGCCCTCTGAAGTTTAGGCTGTCTTCCTCGGCTTTGAAACCCTACACTATCTTACAGCTCCTAAGTGCTTCATAGCTTTTGAAGCTCTTTCCCATATTCTCATTTGATCCTCGCATAATCCTACAATTGTGCCACGATTAAACCAGATCTCAGAGAAGACTTGCTTGAAGTCACAACACAGCCTGTAGGTGATGGAACTCAGGTCTTCTGACTCCCCAGGTCCATGTTCTTTCTCCTGTAACACTGTCCCTTCCGTATCCAGAAAGATTTAAAGCAACTTCCAAAAACCTCAGGTTTAATTCCCATGTGACTGTTTTTTATCACTGTGAAATGTCATAACCAAAGATTTAACAAGTATTTAGAAAACATAACTATAAGGAAAATATCACTAAATACTGTAGACACAAAATGAAAAAACTTCAAAATATTTTGTCCCCGTTAGCTCTAAAGGAAACAAACAGAAAGAAAACACTCTAGTGCCAGCTCCTTTCTGAGCACACGCTCTTGATGCAAAGCCAAGGCCCTCCCAGCACCACATCCTGCTTCTCTAGGAACCCACAAGGTCTGGGCTCGCAGGCTCAATCTTTAGATCCTCTCACACCATGCACACATCTGCTCCTCCCTTGGAGACAGCATTCCCTTCTAGCAAACAAGGATGGACAGAGCTTTTCTCTACATATGTTTCTCACAAGGAAAAGAAGGAAGGGTGAAAGAAAAACAAGAAAGTGATCATTACTTACAGACTAGAATATATTTTTATATATTTGAAAGGCTCTATCTACCATCAATTCATTCCACAGTTTCTTGTAAGTATCTAGCATGTCCCAGATTCATTATAAACACCATGAGGGCTTCCTCTCTTGGTATCTCTGATGTGAAATGCTACTTTAGACAATGAGGACATAAAAACGAATGATTTAGTCTGCCCATACGGCAGCTACCAAAACAGACACCAACTACTATACCTAAGGCAATGTAAGTGCTACACAAATGCATGCATGAAGTGCTATGGTGGTAAACAAAAGTGAACATAGTTAGGAAGGTTGGAAAAGGCTTTCGGAAAAGTTCAGCCTCGGAAGATGAGTAGGATTCAATAAGGCAAGAGAAACACATGCAAAAATACGCAGAAATAGCACAGCACTGTTGTGGCCGAAAAGTTGGGTTTCATTACAACAAAAGGGTCACGGATAGGGGACAAGGCCGGAAGAGGAATTTGGAGGCACAGGCTATAAAAGTCCTTGAATACAATGCTAAGGACACTGGATTTTATGGTGTAGGCAATTCAGGAATTACCTAGCTTATAAGTGGGGTCACTGCACAATTAAATTCACACTTTAAAATAACTGGAGGTTGGGTACAGGCTGGGTAGACAAGGAGATTGTCAGGAAAAGAAGGCAGAAAGTCACTTTACCAACCGAGGCAAGAGTTGGTAAAGGCCTTAGAACAGCAGCAGAAGAAACAGAAAGGAAACTGAAGATCAAGACAGTCTTTTTCAACAAGACTGGAAGAAAAAGGTGAAAGAGAAGAACAACAAAGATAACTCACATTTCTAGCTAGAATTTAATGATAATGTCACTAACTACATTAAGGAGTAAAGGAGAAATAGTGTTTTTGTTTCAATCACTTTTTCCTGGAGTAGGGGTAGGATGAAAGTTTTCAGTTTTGAAAATAGTTGTTTTTCTTTTGCTTTAGAGCTATCTGTGGAATGCCAGGTTAAGCTCCAGGAAGAACTCTGAAATACGAGACTGGTTGTCAAAAGGCATGTGAGTGACAGCTGAAGACACAGACTTTGAGATGCTTTGGCAATAGATAATAAATTTCTAGGAGTAGGTGATTTCAGATCCAGAAGGGCAAAGACAGAACCCAAATTCAGTCTTCAAATAAAATCAGCCTAGGAAGGAGAGGGATATGAAAGCAAAGAAAAGAAGATGGCAACAATTCTGAAATTAGTGTTCTAAACCCCATACCAACAGTTTGGTGTTGACACTCACAGACCACACATGTCAGATCATCAGGACACTGACAATCATAACTAAACGCTACAGAACCACGAAACACAACGTAACAGAAAGAAAAGAAGACGGCCAAGTAGCAAGTCACAATGCCACTGACAACTGCATGCAAAACGAGACACTAAAGGGCAGACCACAAATTCCAAAAGCCTGCACAAAAGAAATGGGCAACCCAACTGGGAAATCACCAAGACCCCAGAATAGCTCCATCTCTTAGTTTACTGTAAGAAGCCCTCCCCTCTGCACCAAGCTTTGGCTCCAGAAACATCAAATGAGCCGTGTACAGTTTAACCTACATCATGACCTAGTCTTCTAAAGGGGGATACAGACCAAAAATAAGTTCCTAAAGAAGACAGCAGAAGCAGAATTGCATTTGTAAGTAACCAGCCGTCTGGATATAAAATATTCTGTCCTCTTGTGCATCCGTGTGTCCCAATTTTGTTTTTAAAGACAGGGAAAGTGGAGGCATAAGGCAAGAGAAGGTGAGGTCATTTGTAATTAGGATGGGCAGGGCAGCATGAGAGCAAAAAGTGTAAAGCTACCAAATGCCTCAACTTCCATTTGCAGCTGACACCAACAGCTGCAGTAAAGACAAAGACTGGAACGTTCTAAAACTTCATGCATTTCAAAGCATGTTTACATCTTCCTTTTTTTTTTTTGCAGAGGCAAGATTACTGTGAACAGTAACTTTGGCAAAGCTGATAGCTGCCCTTGGTTTTGTCTCCAATGACTAGCCACATTATTCAATAAACTAACCAAATTCAATCTGCTCATTGGTAAAATAGTCTGGGGCTCATACCAGGGGTCTTTTTTCATTTGATCTCCCTTAATTTATCGAGCAGAGTGCCAGGCACTAGCAGACTCGTTAGGTGCTACCATCATTCCTTGCAAGGGACTTTATTACCTATACTTCTGTGGAAAAATCACTAACTTCTTCAGGCCTCAATTTCCCCACCTGTAAGGACGCCTTACAGGGTTGTTTGCAGATAGATAACTAATGTCAAGTGCTTTGTAAACTATAGAGTGCAACCCAAAATATAAAGCACAATTGTTTCCTGACCTGGCAAATAGTAGCAACTCCCGTTTCATCGCTAAAGGAACTGAAAACACCAGGGGGTTTAAATGACTAGTACCTAATGAGATCGGGCAGAGACCTCAACACCTACCCTAATCTCTGCCATCACCCCCATACGGCATGGTCCGATCTCAGCCTACCCTCCACAAGCTCCAGGCCTTCCCCCATCACCTGAAATTTCTTAAAATTCAGGTGAGGGGGAGGGAGACGACATATGACACAGAGGCAAAAAGGACACAATAAAATGACTTGCCCAAGGTCAAAACACCAGAGGGAAAAGGAAATGCTGGCTCGCCAGCAGCCGAGGCCACGTCCCCCGTGACTGCTACAACCACCGACACACGACGAGCTCCCCCTTCCTGGGCCGCAGTGTGGGGGCGCCCTCGGCCCCGTGCGTGCACGCCCGCCGCGCCCCTGCAGCTCCCCCCCGCCGGCCGCCCAAGCCCCTCCACGCCTGCGCTCGGCCCGGACCCCGGTGCTCCCGCGGACCCGCTGACCACCCCTGGAAGCTGGACCCCCACTAAGGACCCCGAAAGGTTAAGTGTCCACACGGCAGGGCCCCGCCCACGCCCCCTGCCACGTCCGCGGCCTCACGCACTATGGCGCTCCGGACCGGGGCTCCAGCCGCCGCCGCCGCTGGGCCCGGGCCGCCCAGCCTCCCAGTCCCGGCGTTCCCAGGGCAGCGCGAGCCCGAGCAGGCCGCGGACTTCCTCCGCCAGCTGCGCCCCCGCCGCAGCCCGGGATGAGCCCGCCGCCAGGGCTGACGGACTGCCCCTCCAGCCAATCGGGATGTGCGCACGAAGCGGGAGCGCTGACGAACTGTTCGAAAGGCCAATCGGAGCGCGCGTCCGGAGGGGGCGAGGCTACCGCTAGCGGGCCCCGCCCCGTCCGTGCTTCCGCTTGGGCCGAGGAGGCGAGTGGAAACTTTCCCAGAGTTCCTCCCAGCTCCCAGGGACCCGCGGAGGGGCCGCGGCGGGGCGGGGACTGGCTCGGCTCGGGGAGCGAGGGGCGGGCCCGCGGCCGCCTGGTGACGAGGACCCGCGGCGGCCTCCGCGGAGTCGCGGTCCAGCCAGCCCGGATCGGCGCCCCTCGCCGGTGCAGGGCCCCGCCGGCCTGCTCCTCCCGGGCGGCGCGCGCCTCTCCTGGCGGCGGCATCACCCCACTGCCTCCCGTTCCGCCCCAAAACGAGACCAGTGGTGGCGCCCCTGAAGCGCGCGTCCGCGGCAGCCCGCGGCCCGCTGGAGGCCTGACCCCCGGGCTCAGGGAAGCACGGCCTCTCCCCACGCCGGGCCTGGGGGTCCCGGTGTGCCCCCACGCGGGGCCGGGGCTGGGCCCATGGCGGACCCGCGGCGGCTCTGCAGGCTGGTGCAGGAGGGCCGGCTGGGCGCCCTGCGGGAGGAGCTACGGGGCGCGGGGCCCGCCCTCTGCCCGGGCCCGGCCGGGGACACCCTCCTGCACTGCGCCGCCCGCCACGGGCGTCGGGACGTGCTGGCCTACCTGGTCGAGGCCTGGGACAGGGACATCGAGGCCGCCAACCGAGACTACAAGCGGCCTCTGCACGAGGCTGCCTCCATGGGCCACCGGGACTGCGTGCAGTACCTGCTGGGCCGGGGAGCCGCGGTCGACTGCCTGAAGAAGGCCGACTGGTAGGTGGCGGGAGTTCCAGAAAGACGCCCCCCGCCCCCCTTCCCCGCAGAATAGGATTCCCGTGTACTTCGTCCGCCTCGACAGCATAGCTTCTCCCCCTTCCCCTATAGGGCAGATGACCTGCAGCGAACATTGTTCCTACCCTGTGGGGTTAACTCTTCCAATCTTCTGTTCCAAACTGCTTCCCTTGACTAAGCAGAGAACGGTATGGAATATGATCGAACAGATAGAATGGATCAAAGGATCCAACAGTGAATTGTGTGCACTGCATGTAGCATGAGCCCCAGAATGCGATGTTCTTCTGGGATCATCTAGCCAAATGATTACTTCACCAATGGCATTGTTTTGACTTTTTATTTTGAAATAGTTACAGGTTTCCAGGAGGTTGCAAAGATATGTTCAGGGAGGTCCCACGCGCCCTTCCCCCAGCCTCCCCAAAGTTAGCATCTTACACAGCTGCGATACAATAACAAAAGTAAGAAACTGACATTGCTACAATCAATATGCTTATTCAGATTTTACCAGTTATACATGCACTTGCGTGTGTCTGGCGATCTGTGATTTTCTCACGTGTGTAGCCTTGCTGCACAGTCAGGATTACTCACCATCACACAAACTGATTGCATTTTGTTAGATGGACATTGTTTTCGGTACTATGTGGGCCTCCTTAGAGGTTAGGAACATCTTAAGATTCATAGCATGATAAGGTTCGTGCCTGCAGACAGCCATATAGTTAAATAGAGTGCATCTCGCCCACGGGAGTGCGGGCGTAGGCCTGGTTATGTTTTGAGGGTTGCGCTTTGGCTGTGACCACGCACAAGACTGATTTTCTTATGCTGCCGGTAAACTGGTCCAAAGATAGTTCCCAGAGGCATATTTCCTCGTATGCTCCTCAAAACAATTCTGTGGATAAGGAAATAGCCTCCCCCAAAAACCGTTAAAAGGGCAAGGTTCCTTGGATTCTGTATTTGGGAGGTGTCGTCACAGTGGGACAGTTTCGTGCATTGTCATCTTCCTGGCTTTCTGAAATACCTTCTGCCCCGCTTTTCCTGTCATCCTGCCTTGCTCAAGACTCATTCCCTTTGTGAAGTTCTTCTTGAATGTTCCAGCCTTCATATATCAGGGTTTCTCCCTCTTAAGTTGTCATTTTCTGTCATTACCGCATGACCAAAGATACACATCTGTTGTGTTAGTAAATAGTGTCATAGCAACCTTAGAGGAGAGATCCTACATGAGACTTTAGAGGTCTTCTCAGTATAGTGAGCTCCCGCTGTGTGCCAGACACAGGTTCTAACTCTGAGAATAGGAGGTAAACAAGACCTTCCCCTGCTTTCCAGGAATTGTAGCTCATTTAGCAGATGAGAAACCAGAAGCTTGCGGAAGTGAAATGGCTTACCCCAAATCATTTATGTGGGAGAAGAGGAAGGCCGGAGCCGCCTCCCTCGATATTCATGTTACCCAACCCAGGTTCGTTTTTGCCCATCACCCAGAAAACCAAACACCAAGATGACAAGATGGCAGCAGAGGGAGGGTTTAATCATGGAGGAGCCAGGTGAGCAAACAGGAGAATGAGTCTCAAATCCGCTTCCCCAAAAATAGGGACTCAGGGATATTTATGGGGTGGGGGGCAAGGTGGTCGGAAGTGTGGAGATAGATGACTGGAGGGGATGGGATTGGAGGGGAGGTAATTGATGACCTGCGCAAGCGTAGTCAGATTTCATGGCTCTTCATAGAACGCATGCTCACAAAATGGTGGCGTTAGCATGATCTGAGGGTAGAGTTTTTAGCCTCTTGTCGTCAAAAGGTTTCTTATCTGACATCTGCGTGGGCACGGTTGATGGGTTGGTGGTCTCCACCTGTCTAAAGTGGACAAAGGGTTCTAATTCCTGAAAAACAGCTCAAACACCCGTTATCGTGGTGATCCAGGCTCCATCCCCAGGGAGATGTTATCTGTAGGAACGTGGTGGGAGTCAGACAGCATATTGCCTAAATAGGCGAGTTAACAGTGGGCGTGTGAACAACTAAAAACTATAGTCAGTAATTGCAAAAAAGAAAAAAAAACTCTAGTTCCTAGCTGCTTAATCATCAATGGCTAACTGTTTGCCTGTTTCATTAATAATAGTTCACTCTCTCATGATTGCGGACAGTCCATTCGGAAACTTACTGTAGTCACACTGTGTCATTTGCTTCACCAGTGTGTGCTCCTTGTGGCCAGACGCTGTGTCAAATGCTCTTCTTTAATTCCTTTTCAGCACAATTTAATTAATAAATGGTTACTGATTGAAGTCAATGGGATAAGTCCAGCAAAGTACCTCTTATGCAAGTGTTATTCAGGACAAACTGTCTCTGGTTTTGGTTAGCTCTGTCCCAATTCAGTGCCATACTGTAAACTAGTTCAGAAGCAGCTTTGCCTCCTCGGTATTTTCCTCCTGTGGGTGCACCTTCATCACCACCATTTTCCCCTCATTATTTCTCCCAGGGTCCTCACAGCAGGCAGAGAAGTTGCCAGTCTTCCTGCTTCCCAGACCCCTGAGTCCTCTCAGCTTCCCATCTCCCCCAAGGCTGTGCATTTTTCTAAAGACCTGGTCTCGCGCTTCTAATGTCTCGGCTGCCCTTCCATCTGACAGCTTGTCCTGCTTGGCCTCAGGACTCCTCTGATGATGGCCTGCACAAGGAAGAATCTCGGGGTGATCCAGGACCTTGTGGAACATGGTGCCAATCCGCTTCTGAAGAACAAAGACGGCTGGAACAGTTTCCACATTGCCAGCCGAGAAGGTGACCCCCTGATCCTCCAGTACTTGCTCACTGTCTGCCCGGCTGCCTGGAAGACAGAGAGCAAAATTGGGAGAACTCCTCTGCACACCGCAGGTATGGCCTGGAGCTCTGCAGGGTTGCCGGCGTGGGTGGGCTGACTGCCTTGCCCAGAACTGCAGAACATCATCGAGGTCGAGGCACCCACGGCGGGTATGGAGGGTTCTGGAAGACAGAGGGCAGAGGATAAGAGCAGCTTTGGGGTCTTTTGGCATGCAATTAGTTTCTAAAGCTACTGTAACTTGGCATTTAACGTGCTCTTCTCTGTTGTTCAGTTTTCATGTTTATCTGTCTTATTCTCCCCAGTTAGTTAGAGGGTAAGCTGGTTCCGTTCTCTACTAAGGAAGTCTTTGACCTCGGGCAAGAAACAGCCTCTTGAGCAAGTTTCCTCATCAGCAAAGTGATGATGGCATTGATGCCATTCCTCAGGGTGGGTGTTGGGCTTCCGGAGCATGATGTGTGGGAATCCCTCAGACAGTGCCTGACATGTGGTGAGCACAGAACAACCAGCTGCTGCTCCCTCCATAGTCATTTTCACATTGTTGTTATTAAAGGCAGGAGGAAATGAGATGCTGTTTTCTTACATCCTCAGCAGCAGCCCCCACAGTGCTGTCCACCTAAACAGATAGAGGGGCTTCTAACTCAATACCTGGGCTGAGTGCATGTGACTTGTCTAGTGACGATGTCAGATACAGATTTGGGGTACAGTCGTTGTTGTTTGGAGTAATTATCCTTAACTCTGAATTATCTATTCCTGGATTGTTTTAAATTAGTAAAAAGCAAAAGTCCTGTGGCATAAGATGAGATGGATGTTGAGGAGCTCAAGAGTCCAGATCCAGAAATTCAGAACATAATCTAGCCTTCTAGGTGGTACGTTGAATTAGAACACAGGGCTCTTCGTTTCTCTAGAAATCAATGCCTGTGACATGGTATAATGTAGGAAATAGGCATGTAATTATTCTAGCCACAGTGGGCACGTGGGGACCAAGAAATCCTTTGTAAAACTTTGCAAGTGAGTAGAATACTTTTCTCCGCTCATAATCATTTGACCAGCTCCCCTTCTCTTCCAGAGAAACAGTCAGCACCCAGCCATTCTCAGAAAACGGTGGAGAACACATCGTCGAAATCTTTATCACTGAGTGTAGTTATTTTTAGTAGGAGAATCAAATCCCTAGTTATTTTGTTGTGGATTACTGTTAAAATGTTTTACGTTTCCTCAGCAAGAACTGACTGGCCCTAGGGATTTGTTACACCTAAATGAGGAGATAGGTTTAGGATCGAAAATTTGCTGTGAAAGTGCTCACAAAGACAAGGTAATCAGGTGTTAGCTGTGTACCTGTTAAGTGACAACATCATTCTTTACCACTTGTCCTGCTAAATCCTTATTTTCCTGGGGTGGTAACAGTATACCTAACTTACTCCTTCCTGTAAGTCGTGGCTAAAAGGATGGGGCAGAGAGAGGTTCCAGGAGGAGACACGCATTTTATACACGCACTAAAAGCTCTAATTCTCAATTCTCTTCTCCCAGCGATGCATGGCTGTTTAGAGGCAGTACAGGTGCTTCTTCGGAGGTAAGAACAAAACAACAAGTAGAGGAAAATAATTTGCTAATTGTGACAGTTGATAATCTGTGCTACATAAAGAGCTCAGGCAAATTACTCGGAAAGAAACTGAGGTACCAAAAGGACATGAACAAAGGACGTAAGTGAGTAACTCAAAGACGGTAAAACAAAAATGGCCCAACGAGCATGAAGAAAAATCATCCATTTCACCATTCACTCAACAAATATTTAGATATTAATTCAGTGCCTAATAGAAAGGAAGCACGTACTAGATGCAGAGCCAGCCACAGAAACGAGACGTGGTTCCCCGCTTCCGGAGCTCCCAGACTGCAGGGAAGACAGGCCCCCACGGAAGTCAGGAGTCTGATGAGTGTGCCAGGAGCCGCGGGACCCCGACAGGAGCATGAGACAGGAAGACCCAGCTTGGCCCGGGAGTGAGGAATCTCAGCCTCAGTGATCCTTCAGCTGTGGCCTGACGAGGCTGAGTGCAGGAGGCAGGGGCCGTTTCAGACAGAGCTAACAGTACCCCTAAGTGCTTGGCCAGGGAAAGGCACACTGCGTGTGAGAAACTGGAAGAGGTTCAGTATGTGCTGAAGACTCAAGAGCGAAGGGGAGAGCAGGGCGCCATGAGGCTGCGGAGGGAGGCCAGAATTAGGTCAGGTGGGACACTAGACCCTGTGAAGGATTTTACACTTGATTCTGAGCATATACGATGCCATGAAGGGTTTTAAACGGGGGTGTGGTAATAAGAAATTTGTGCTTTTCAAAGATCCTTTGGTTGCTAAATAGACAGTGGATTGGAGGGGAAGCAGGAGTGGGTGCTGTGGCAGTTGAACGGGAGAGGGATAACAGTAGCTGGACTAAGAACCTGACTGTCGGGATGAGAAAGATACTGAAGAAGTGGAAGCAGCAGATCTAGGTGAGTAATTCGATAAAGCGGATGAGGGAGAAGGAGGAGTCAAGGATGGCTTCCAGGTTTCTCCCTTTGGCAACCAGTGATGGCGCGGGCGCTGTTTCTTGAGATAGAGAACACTGGACGAGCAGCAGGGTTTGGGGGCAAACATGATAATTTCACTTTGGGACATGCTGAGTTGCACGTACCTCTGAGTCGTTCAAGCAAAGGTGTCAGGTGGGCAGTTAGAGACACACTTCTGAAGCCCAGTGGAGAGGTGTGGGCCGAGACACAAATGTGGGCTTCATCGACACGGAAATGACAGTTGACTCCGTAGGAGTGAAAGAGATTACCCGAGGGGACAATGTACAGTAAGAAGAGAAGAGGGCCTGACGCAGGGCCCTGAAAGCACAGCTTACGTGTGGGCCCTGCCTGCCGACGGTTGGAACACTCTTTTAGGCAAACTCCTAAATATTCATTCATTCAACAGATACTTTTTAAGCACCTCCCGTGTGTTAGGTGCTGGGTGACAAGCACAACAAACGTGGTCCTTTCCCTCACGGCCTCTAGGCGGGTGTGGAAGCCACGTGTCGACAAGCAGTCACAGAAATAAATACCATAAAATTACAGACGTTAGTAGTTCTACAAAGGAAAAGAACGCCATGCCATGAGGGAACGAAGGTCGTACAGTAGATGAGGGAGAAGACAGGGCTCTGTGAGGTCGCAGGGAAGCTGCAAGGTGAAGGATGAGTTGGAGTTTGTCAAAGGAAGAATAGAGAAATCAGGTCCCGAGCAGAGGGAATCAGCAAGTGCCAAGGCAGCAAAGAGCTGGGCAACTGAAGGAGCAGAAGAAGGGAGGACAGGAAGAAGGAAGGAAGGAGAGAAAGTAGGTTGTGGGTGCCCAGGGAAGAGGGTCCCCGAGGAACCTGGAGAGCTAAGTAGGTGCCACGTTATCCTGATGGTTAGAGGTCATGTTGCGGTTTTAGACTTTATCCTTTGCAACTGGAGAGTAGTTCCAGGTTTTCAGGAGGAGTGGCTGTCCTCAAATTCACGTGGTGAGAAGCTTGCTCTGGTGGCAGTGAGGATGGCTTAGCAAGGCAGGAGCCTCAGTGAGCACAACCATTAGGAGGCTGTTGTCTATTGACTTGGTCATAAGGGTGAAAGCAGAGATGGAGAGAAGGGTACGGTTTTTTGAAATATTTTGGATATAGAATTGAGAGATTTTGGTAATAGGCATGAGAAGCTGGACCGATGATGAAGGCTGGAGGAGGGGCTGATGGGGAAGAGCGGCGCACTCCTGAAGAGCTCAGGTCAGATACTGAGGGCAAGATACTGATGGGGCAAGAGGGAGAGTCGCAGGTTTTCACAGATCGTTTGTAAGGTGTGTTGTGGACTGCAGGTGGGCAAGACTCCACTGTGCATGGATTTGAAGCAGTGACTTTCCTCAGCTCTGGTGTGTTGGATTTGGGCTCTAGGTGCCAGTATGAACCCAACTGCAGAGACAAGTGTGGACTCACACCCTTTATGGACGCGATTCAGTGTGGTCACATCAACGTAGCCAGGCTGCTCCTGGAAGAACATAAGGTATAGCGATGGTTTGGTTTTATTCCTTTGGGTCTTCCTACAAGTTTTACATCATAGAATAAACAGAAAGCATAGGTATTCAGACCTTGGGTTCAAATCCCAGCTCTGCCACAGGGACCTCTTGCGGGACCCCTTGATCTCTTTAAGCATCAGTGCTCCCATCTGTAAGGTGGAGACACATTTAATTTTCTTCAGAGGGTTACCATAAGGATTAAATAAGATAATGCACATAAAGCAGTTAGCAAAGTCAGGATTCCATAAACAGCAGCCGTTTGATAGCACTGATAACCACAAGCTCTCCCCACGCAGTACGCTTTTGGTACTTCAGCATAGAGCATTGACTCTTAACCTTTGTTTTGGTTACAAAGTCCTCTGAGAATCTTACATAAGCTATGTATCATCTGCCCAGAAAAACATACATAGATGACAAAGCTTTGGCAAAAGATCAGAAGGTCCATGGCGCAGGTTTCTCTGCGCCTTATTTTTGTTCCTCTCTCTCCCCAACCTGCTAGGCTTGCGTTTCTGCTGAGGATTCCCTGGGGGCCCAGGCTATCCACAGGGCAGCAGTCACCGGGCAGAACGAAGCCATCCGGTTCTTGGTCTCTGAACTTGGCGTTGACATAGATGTGAGAGCAGCATCGACCCGCCTCACGGCACTTCATTATGCAGCTAAGGTTTGTTTCTTTTCGTCACGGCGTCCCTGCTCCCTTAGGCTTGCCTCACCCCACTGATGAGTAGCTCCAGAGTTCTGTTTCTTTGGCTTCAACTCTGTGGAGGAAAGAAATCACCCATGATATACTCCTGAAATGTTTGTGATTCTGAAGCCCTGTGTCCCTTTAAGGAGAAAACTGCCTTTATTTTTCCTAGGTAAAAACTGAGAAAAACCCTTTACTCCATATATTGCCTGGGCTTTATGTCTGTCCGTTCCCCACCCCCCACCACTACCTTTTTTTTTGTTTTCAGGAATGTTATTTGAAGCCATAAAAATCCATTGTATAAAATTTCTAGCTCTTTATCCTTATACTGGATTTCAGAAGTTAAGATTTCTTTAACTGAGGCAAGGAAATTGCATTTACTGGACTCTCCGATGTATAAAATATTTAAGACATGCAAAAAGTTTTCCCTAGAAAAGTAGCCGCTTGCGCCCTCCTGTTTTAAATGCCAGGAGTCTTTTGTGGATTATCTTTAACACGGTTAGCTACCTACCTTTACTTAGTTTTCTTAGCAACAGAAATAAGTATTTTTCTGGTGAGCTACACTCCTGCCTGCGTTCCCCCCGTGAGAAAGTGGATAGATAGATGAGGCTGGGCTGAGAGTGTGGCATGTGGCCGCAGGGGGAGAAAAGCTAGCGGCTTCACCCACAGGAGAAGTGAACCTGCGATTGATTTTAGTCTCACCGCATCCTAATGGACTAACTGGCTAGACAGAAAGTCCATAAATTGCCTTATAAATGGTGATGCTAGCTGTGATAAAAATCCCATCCAGGAGAGCCTGCAGTCTTCTCTAGTTTGTCTCTGCCCTAAAGACTTCAGCAAAGAGTATGTTTGCTTGGGAGGGTTTGGACTTGTGTGTTCTGTACAAATCACAAGATTTATACTCAGTGCACTCAAGAAAACCCAACTGTATTAGTCAATAAATTGGCTTACAAAGTTGATCTTCTATATTCTAATGACTAAATGTCACCAAAATCTTTATTTATTGATTTTTACTGAAATTTGAGAGTGATATAACATGTCTTCCTTTAGATATGAAAATTCAGTTTTAGCAATTGTGTTTTAGAAAAAGTGCCTAATATGCATTAGAGTTTGCGTTTAAAGCTTTGCTTTTGTCCTCGTCGCAGCGATAACAAGTTTGTTTCAACACTCAGGAAGGTCACGTAAGCACAGTTCAGATGCTTTTATCCTTGGGTGCTGACATCAACGCTAAAGATGCAAGAAGTCGATCAGGTACGCCCTCATTTTACATGGGCCTTGGAAATTGTTAGTAAACCGAGTAGAAACAGTACGTGGACCTTAATATTAAAACCGTTGGTTTAGTACTAGTCCTCTAGTAGCTCAGCCAGCTTTTCTTTAAAATAACGTCTGTTCTGTTGGCAAAGCTATAGAAATATTGCTGGTGCCATAGCAATCATGATGACTACTATTCACTACTACTGCTGTTATTGTCGTTTTTATTATTTTAAGCCACAACAATATATGTGACATAAAAGCACTTTATCTTAATCCATGATGACGCCAGCTATCCGGGTGTTATATAGATTCTTCATAGATCGTCTCTGTTTAGAGCGTATTTCGAAACTATAATCACTATAATTTTTTAAGTTTAGGGCTCAGAAAGATATTTTCAGAGCTAATTGTTTAGACTTACCCTTTAGAATAAACCCTCTCGTTATCATTCTGTGCGCCAGTGGCCACCTTGCAAGGGTCTAGTGGGATCGCACAGATAACCAGCTGCTCGCCATGGGGCTGCAGAGGGCAGTCACTGAGTCCAGGGACACAAGACTGTCTCCTAAAGATGGGGCAGGACCCGGGACCTTGGGGCCCGCAGCACGCTGGAAACCTGCTCTAACTTCTAACCAGAATGGGTTAGCGTTTTTCCTAAAATGTCAGCACTTTTTCTTTTTGTCACATCATTCTTATTCGTGGTGATATTTTTACTCACACAGAGAATTCACGAAACTTTGAGAATGTTTTCTGTGCCATGTGAAGTCTCCGATTCTCATTCTTGCTTTGTTGCTTCAGACAAGTCTCTTACATCCTCTCCCATTGGTTTTATTATTTTTAAAACCATTTCAGTCCCAGTCAGGTTAAAAGGAGAAATATTTTGATCCCATATAGGCAGTCATAAGGATAAATTATGGAAATATAAGATCTGTATAATTGAAAGAGCCAGTGTTTTTATTAGGAGCAACGTACTTACTAGGTCATTATTGTGTTGGGGTCATGCACTGAGTTCCTGTGGCTTCTCTCTTCCTCTGCTCAGCCCTGCACTTGGCCTGCGCAGGGCAGCACGTGGCTTGTGTCGAGTTTCTCCTGCAGTCTGGGCTGAGAGACTCCGCAGACATCACGGGCACCCTGGCTCAGCAGCTCACACGGAGCGCAGACATCCTCCATTGCTTCGACCACAGTGTGACGACGTGAGGGTGTTTCTAAAGGAAGACAGTGCCGCGTGTGGTAACTGCCATCCTGCTGCTTAAGTCGTTACCAGATTCAGTGAAGTTAGGTCAGTAGCCAGTGTTTTCTGCCTTCCTTCACTCTGCCCTCTCCACTCAGTTGAGAATTCCCAGAGATGGGGGGGCTGGCTTCCCAGCTGTGTGACTGGCACAGTGTGAGATCTTGAGCACAATCGGAATCTTCCCATAGGCTGTATTTCACTTTCCTACTCTTCAGATGGGATTAGATGATGTCTGTGAGGTCAGTGTCTGGACTCCTTAGAATAGCACGTAATGTGCATGAATATGATGTGTACATATTTTTATATGTGTGTGTGTATATATATGAAATGTTTTATAATAAATATATGGCAAGGCAATGATAACATTAAAAGTAGAAGAAACTGCTGTTAGCTGTTTACTTTCTTCTTTCATATGCTTTTTTCTTGGCCATTACAATGGTTTAACTTTTGGTTTTGTAGTTGGGAAGGAAGTGCTTATAATCTGTTGACATAGACATTTATAAGGAGTTAATGAAAATGTTTCTATATTTTAAGCACTGCTAGTTAAGCTATAATGTTTTAATCTTGAGGATTCTTTATCTTTTGTGTGTGTGTGTGTGTGAGAAAGATTGGTCCAGAGCTAACATCTGTGCCAATCTACCTCTATGTTATGTGGGATGTCGCCATAGTGTGGCTTGACGAGTGGTGCTAGGTCTGCACCCAGGATCCAAACCTACGAACCCTGGGCCTCCAAAGCAGAGCGTACAAACTTAACCACTATGCCACCAAGGTGGCCCCGAGACTTATTTTTCTTAATAGACAAGTTCTGTATGGGCTGTTTTCAGGTAATAAATAGGTCTAAAAGATGCATTCAAGGGCCAGCCCTGATGGCCTGGTGGTTAAAGTTCTGCATGCTCCACTTTGGCAGCCTGGGTTCAGTTCTTTGGCGCAGAACCACACCACTCGACTGTCAGTAGCCATGCTGTGGTGGTCCTCACATAGAAGAAGTGGAAGGACTAACAACCAGAATATACAGCTATGTACTGGGGCTTTGGGGAGGAAGAAAAGAAAAAGGAAGATTGGCAACAGATGTTAGCTCAGAGCACATCTTTCCCAGCAAGAAGAAATAAATAAAATACTCATTCAAAACAAACAGTGCATCTAAGATATCTTCTGAACTTTTCCATTACCTCAGTTGAAGAAAGGGTGTGGTCTTAAACACAAGGGTCACAGCTCCTGTCCTGTGCCACCTGCCTATGAAGCCTGTGATTGTTAAGGAATGAACATTTGCGTAACTGTAAAAAATTTTGCATCAGCTTAAATTGCAAGATTGAAGATAGGATGAGTCCTCAGGCATTTGGATTCTTCTCTTTTTCTTTGATCATTTTCTTTGAATTGCAAAGAATAATTATTAGTTCAAGTCAGTCTCTTAAAAAAATTGTATGCATCAATCACAAGCAAGACTTAATCCGCTTGCTCAGTGCAATTCGGTAAGAAATTTACACACCCACCTGTTCTCAGCATCGTACTGCGCTGGGTAAATAGCAAGAATTTCCACTTCGTCATTATTCCCAGATGGTGCTGGCTGATCCTATCCCTGACAGCCACACACGTGTTCCGGTAGAAGCACAGCTTGGTTATATAATCCTGTCTTGTGACCTCTAAATCACATGCTCTGCGTCTGCACCCATTCGAGCTGCGGTTACCATCCTCCTGTTGTTTCAGACATGTCTTTGTGTTGCTGCCCTGCGGGTCTGAAGGAGGTGCCGTTATGTGGAGCTCCAGGTGTGCAGGTGGGATGGAAGGATCGGGTGGTGCGGGCTTTCTCTGCCCCTCAGCACACACCTGAATCAGCTTTTTATTTGCCATGACTACATGCAAGGTCCGGTCACATCTGTAGTGTTGCTCCCGCCGAACAAACTAGCGGGGGTTGTGGTCTCTCGGTTACACTTTTCTTCCCCAGGGGTTCTGGATTTGAGAAGCCTGTGGAGAGTAGACCATGGCTCCTCGATGCTGCTGCTGAAACTGCTCAAAAGCCGGAGATGGCAGTAATGATGACATTAATTATGGCAAAGATGGTAATTTATGACTGTAATAGTGAGATATTAAGAGTACTAATGATGGGGACGGCCCTCTGGCACGCTTCACTTTGGCGGCCTGGGTTTTCACTGGTTTGGATCCCGGGTGCAGACATGACACTGCTCATCAAGCATGCTGAGGCAGCGTCCCACATAGCAGAGCCAGAGGCACTCACAACTAGGATATACAGCTATGTACTGGGGGAGCTTTGGGGAGAAGAAGAAGAAGAAGAAAAAAGAAGATTGGCAACAGGTGTTAGCTCAGGTGCCAACCTTTGAAAAAAAGGAATGCTAATGACAGTAGTGATAATTAGTATTATTCCCTAACTTCCTAATTATAGGTACTTTTCTCAGTTCCTTTAGGTCTTATTTAAAAGTCTCCTCGGGGAGGCCCTCGAAGCTCACTTGGTCTGAAGTTTCATTCCTTCCTCCAGCATTTTGTATCTCCTTTCCCAGCTTGTTTATTCTCCTTAGCATTTACCACTATCAGATAGGCTATACATTTTGAGTTATTTATTTTGTTTACTGTTTGTGTCCCCCACTAGAATGTAAGGTCCTTGAGCAGGGACTTCTGTCTCTCTTGATCATTTACCACGTCTGCAGGGCCCAGAACAGTGCCTGGCATATGGCAAGGTTTGAAATTATTAGATGGTCAATGAGTGAGTGATAATAGTTTAGGTTTCTTGAACACTTACTGTATCCTAGATACTGTGCTGAATGCCTCACCTAGACGGCCTCATTTCACCCCTTGACTCTTGCCCCATGCAGCCCCTCCTAATTATTACTCTGTCTCAAGCATCTTCTCTCATCCAGACTTCTTTGGAGAAGCGCCTACACTTGGTTCCTCAGCTCCCAGGCAGTGCTCTCCCCGCTGCTGTCCGGCTTCCTCGCTGCTGCTGTGCGCAGACTGTTCTCTAGTCGGTTACCAGTGACTTCCTGATCACCGGATCAAGCAATATAATTTTAGCCCTTATGTTACTGATCTTTTCAGTTCAGTTGTCCGTCACTCCCACCTTCTGGAAGCTCATTTCTTGTCACCTCTGGTGACACCTCCTGGGTCTTTCTTTCTGATGTTTCCTTTTTTGTCCCCATGATGAGCGTGTTCAGGCCTGTCCCGTGAGTGCTAACATGCCTGCTTTTGTCACCCACTCACTGCTCTCCTTATTCTGTGTACACTCCCAAAGCCACCCCCTCCATTCTGCTCACTCCGCCTGCACCCTGATGTTTGTAGCACCCCAGTCTCTTTCTAACCCTTGTTTTATTCTGCCTGCTCTATGTTTTTGCATGGACATCTAAGGCCATCCCACATTCAGTTTATTCAAAACCTAGCTTTCCCCATAACCTGCTTACTATATGTCTGTATTCTCAGCCCAGTGGATGACACCGCAGTTCAGCCAGTGACCCAAGCTGCAAACCAGGGATCCAGCGCTCTTCTTCCGGCAGGAAGCTCCGCTCCCTGCCTGCTGTGACTCCCTGGTCCGAGCCCTCAGGTGCTCATCCGGACCACGACTGCAGCAGCCTCCTAACTGTTCTCCTGCTCCCTGTCTTGTCCTCCTCAGATCCATCCTCCACGTAGCTGTCAGCTCTCACTAACGTGACCAAGGCACCGACTGCTGACGGGGCCTTGCCGTGCTTCCCCTCCCAGGGAACACACGGGCACGTTCACCAGGGTTTCCGGTGCCTTGACCAAGACCTGCTTTCACAGGGGCTTTTGGCTGGTTCCGAAAGCACACCTGATCCACAGTGGGCATGTGTTCCTAAGATCGACCAGGGCAGAAGCCTCTGGAAAGAGATACAAATAGGTGAGAATTGCAATCATTGGAAAATAGCGAGGCCTAACATATTACCAAAAAAAGTTACGCCAGAAAGTATTTACAAGACAAAATAGGAAAGGAATTACAAAATGGGAAAGAAATTACAAAACTCAGACCAAAAAAAAGAGAACTGTATGTGAAGGGAGCTCAGGTAATAAAGAGGAAGGGCAGGCCCTAAGTGTGACCGTGACGTTGCTGGGACTCGCCAGCAGGGGGCAGGCCAGAGCAGCGACCCTTTTATTGGCATAGTGTTTTGGATTTTTAAAAATTTTATTATTTATTTATTTATTCTTTGTTTTTAATTTTCCTTCTTCTCCCCAAAGGCCCCCAGTACATAGTTATGTATTCTGGTTGTGGGTCCTTCTGGTTGTGCCATGTGGGACGCCGCCTCAACATGGCCTGATGAGTGGTGCCATGTCTGTGCCCAGGATCTGAACTGGTGAAATCCTGGGCCGCCAAAGCAGGGCACGCAAACTTAACCACTCGGCCAGGGGGCCGACCCAGCCCCTTCACATAGTGTTTTTTTAAGATTCATTGTAAAACAGAAAAGTAAAGGAGAAAACAAAAATAACCTATAATTCCACTAACCAAAAAGAACCACTCTTATTTCCTCCTAGATTTTTTATATGTATATAGTTGAGATGATGCTATTTATGCAGTTTTTACCCTGACTTTATATCACAGGCATATCATAATGCTCTTCAAAACTTCGTGAACTTTTATTTTAATCACTCTCTAATGCTCCATCATATTCTTTTTGTTTTTTTCTGCTTTATCTCCCCAAATCCATGGTACATAGTTGTGTATTTTAGTTGCAGGTCCTTCCAGTTGTGGCATATGGGACGCCGTCTCAACGTGGCCTGATGAGCAGTGCCATGTCCACGCCCAGGATCCGAACCAGCGAAACCCTGGGCCGCCGCAGCGGAGCACGCGAACTTAACCACTCAGTCACGGGGCCAGCCCCTCCATCATATTCTTGTCCATGTTTATCCTCATGTTGTCATTTTTCGGTTATTTTGTTTTGTTAAGATAAGATGTAGATAGGATATCTCTGAAGCTTTGTCACATTCGACTGGAAGCAAAGGCTGCTGGATCTGATGGCCAGAAGGTCAGCCTGGGCGAGGGGTGGAGACTGTGGCGGCCTGAACAGGTCCGTGCTCTGTTGGATGTGTTGAGTGTGAAGAGAAAGAAAGACATGAGGAAGTAGTTTGATGCGGTAGATTTTTTAGAGTGTATGTTTACACACGTAGGGCAGGATCCAGTGGTGGGGAGAAAACCGGAGCAGAGAGGGGGAAGGCTCATTGATGAGCGGGTCCTGCGGGAGACGGGGGAAGAGGCACTGACAGCCTTCGGGGAGGCTGAGCTCTCGAATGCAGAGGAAGATGTAGAAAGGAAGAAAGGATGGCGATCAAGAGAAAGTTTCCGTGGAACCCGCGTCCTCGTCTCATTTACAACACCAGTATTTGGAGCTGTGGGGTTGGCGGAACATGTATGTTACATTTTCTATGATAAAATAATGTTAACCTACATTTGGTAGCCTTTAGGCTTTTTATAAGCCAGCAACGGTGTGGAGTGAACCATTAGAAACAGTGATGTGATTTTTATTGAGAAGAAACGAGGTGAAAGTGAGGGCTGGCCTCCGACCTCAGCTGTGACTGAGGGTTAGCTTAGCGTGTGTGACGAAGGCCTGTCTTAGAGCGTCCCCAGAGTTTTAGCTCCTGTGACCATCCCCGAGCGAGGGACTTGACTTGATAACACGGACAGGCGGTGGCGTTCCTGAGAAACACCAGGACCAGTTACATCTTTAGCTCCCCAGGTTCTGCCACGGCGTGTTTTCTGGCCTGAACATATCAACCTGAGCCTAAGTGCAGACACTTCAGCCAGCCTCCTGGTTAAGCTATGTCGTTTTTTTCCTCTTCCGAGTCTCCAGAAGGCCCAGAACATACTCTGGGGTCAGTGGTTTCGTGGGGGCACTTGAAACAACATAAACAATACAGTGATGGTGATGAACTCTGGGTGGGGTGTACCGCTTCAGATGTCTTCACTGAGCAGAGAGGCAGCAGAGCTTTGCTACCAGCACAGACTCCGGAATCAGACATCCTGGATTCAGACACTCTCTGTGTGACCTGGGAGTTCATTCTGGTTCCTCTAAGCCTTAGCTTTCTCGCCTCTAAAGTGAAAGTCCTGCCACCCACCACAGAGGAACCTGTCACAAGGATTAAACGAGAGAACCCGTGTCTGTTCATTCAGCAAGTGTTTGTGAACACCTCTGTGCCTGGCCCTGAACAGCCTAGACGAAAACTTCAGACTTGTAGCTGGAGAGACAGACCGTAAGAACTGGCTGTGAGGGGCTGGCCCGGTGGTGTAGTGGCTAAGTTTGCGTGCTCCGGTTTGGCAGCCTGGGGTTCACAGGTTCAGATCCCTGGCATGGACCTGTGTACCACTTTTCAAGCCATGCTGTGGCAGCATCCCACATAAAATAGAGGAAGATGGACACAGATGTTAGCTCAGGGCCAATCTTCCTCACACACACACACACAAAACAAAAACTGGCTCGGTGTGTGAAGCATTAGATGGTGATGAGCGCTGGGAAGAAGATACAGCAGGGAGGGGCAGGGGGCAGAGCCGGGCAGGGGACTCGTGGTGCCACCCAAGCACAGAAGCACATACGCTGTGAGGGGAGGGCGGGCGGCCCTCTGGGTGGACATTCCAGGCAGCGCCGGCGCAGTGGCACAAGGCTGAGGAGGCCATGCATCTGCCGTGTGAGAGGAAGGAGAAGGAAGCCACTGTGGCCACAAGTGAGTAAGCGAGGCGGGAGGGTGGGACGCGAGGCAGAAAGGTGGGTTGGGGGGCCGGGTCACGCAGGCCCTTTGGGGCCTTTTCACTCGGGGAGAAGGAGGAGGCCATATGTGAGTTTTGAGCAGAAGAGTGATTAAATCAGACCCGGCTTTTAACAGGGTCATTCTGAGTGTTGGGTGGAAGCAAAGAGCCCAGTTAGGAGGCCATTGCTACACTTTATGTGAGATGTGATGGGAACTTGGACCAGGGTGATGGGGCAGAGGTGGGAGAAGGTATAGGGTGTGTTTTGAAGGTAAATCGACAGGATTTGGATGCTAGGTGTGAGAGAAATAGAAAAAGTGCAATCTCCAGGCCTGAGCATACGGAAGAATAGAATTGCCACTTACTGGGTCATGACAGACAGTGGGGAGCAAGCTGTCGGGGAAGGTCAGGGGTTTGGGTTCAGACGTTTGTTGAGTGAATTGCCCATTAGACACCTGAGTGGGAGTCCAGGAGGCAGTGGGTGAGGTCTGGAGTTCACACAGGGTCCAGGCTGCAGGTGTCTGGGAGTTTGCATTTCTAACAAGCTCCCTGGGGATGCAGATGTGGGTGCTGCTGTGTGGAGCCCACGTTTTGAGAAGCACTGGAATAGGGAAATACGGTGGGACTGGCAGGCTGCCTGAGAGAGGCGCTGAGGTTCCATGTCCTGCCGTTCTGTCCAGCCGTGGCCAGCTGCTCAGGATCCGGTCCAGAGGAGGCACAAGGTTAGACTGCACCACGATAGGGGTGAAATTATTCCAGGTAAATAGAGCAAAGGGTTACTCAGCACAGCGTCTAGTACGTAGTACCTGCCCCAAACCTAAGTTACTACCCAGCACCAGCCTGCCCTTAGGATCCTGCCTCCCAGCGGACAGAGGACCCTCTCCCCGGCTCTGGGCCCCCACACCTGAGTCTGGCTTTATGACCTTGGGCGAGTTTCTCAGCATCTCCAAGCTTTCGTCTCTTCATCTGTAAGATGAGCCACTAACCACCCTGCTTCATAGAGTTTTGGGGAACTTTACCCGAGAGTCTGCATGCGAACCGCTCAGTACAAGTCTGTCACACAGGAGCGGCAGATGTCAGCAATCCTCAGAGGCCCGCAGAGGAGGAGGTGCTGGATGCAAATGAGCTCTTGGCGTAAATCTGTCCACCGAAGCCCACAGCCGGCAGAGTCTTCCAGATTCACGGTGAAAATTCATTTCTCCTCCCGTTTCTGCTTTGCACTTTCCAGCAACAGTCATGTGGTTTGCCTTGTGTTAGAGCTGATTATCCACTCAAGTCCACTAAACTGCAGCCCTGGGGTATTTCTTACTCGTCTCATAAACCCCAGAAGCTCTGTACCCAGTGTCTGGCCCATATTGTACCTTCAAGAAATTATTTATGGATTTGAAAGAAATTCATACATGATCTAACACTCATGCATCTTATTTAATTTTTAATGAGTTTTTATTACAAGCATAGTAATACTTCTCATGGTAAAAAATAATTGAAACAGTGCAAATAAAAGTCCTCTTCCCCTGGGGGCTGGCCCTGTGGCCGAGTGGTTAAAATTCCTTGCACTCTGCTTGCCCAGGTTCCTGGGTTTGAATCCTGGGTGCAGGGCTATACTACTCACCAGCCATGCTGTGGAGGCTTCCCACATACAAAATAGAGGAAGACTAGCACAGATGTTAGCTCAGGACTAATTTTCCTCAAGAAAAAATAGAGGAAAATTAGCAACGGGTGTTAGCTCAGGGCAAATCTTCCTCACCAAAAAATTTTAAAGGTCCTCTTCCCAGCTTCTTATTTCACTCACCTGAAGTAATCAGTGTTAGGGGGCTTTCCACACAGGAGGTGGAGATAGATATATTTCCTTTTTGATCCCAAATAGGATCCTATAGTACATACTCCTCTGCCACTTTTTTACCATAACAGCGTACCGTGGACATGTTTTCTCATTAGTACTTGTAGATCTAAGTCACTCTTTTTAACATTGCATCGTTCAGATGGACCAGAATTTGTCTAAACTGTTTCCTATTTATGGACGTTTAGGATGCTTCTAAGCTTTTCAAAATTATTATAAACAGTGGTGCAGTGAACACATCTTTGTGTCCTTCTGTGAGCAATTGGAAGATGAATTCCTAGAAGTGGATCAAAGGATATGTAAATGTTTTATGTTGCCAGCTGTATCATTTACAGAGCGCAGCCTACATTCTGGCTTCAGTAGAGGAGATTTATTACAGGGTACAGGCGGGTATGCAGAATTGCTGGGACGGCTCAAAGACGGATCTGGGCAGGACTGTGAGGAATGACTTCCAGAGCCGTGCGGCAGACCTGAGCCTCCAGAGGAAGTGCTGCCTTTTCCATCACGAAAATCCTTGCCCACAGGGAGGCTGCCACCTCACCTCCCAGCTCCGGGAGCTGCTGTCTTTGCTGCGGTCAGGAAGCCGGAAGAACCAGGAAGTCCCCAAGGGAGAAGTGGTCACCTTCCTGACAGTGTTTGCCAGCAGGAGCATGGGTTCCTCTTCAAACTCGAGTGATTAGCAGAATCCAACTCCCATCCGGAAATCCAGCTCTAAGGGAGCCCAGGAAGTGTGGTTTATAACTTTGCTGCTTCTGCAGTGTACGAAAGCACTTGAAAAGGAGGCTGGAATGGATCTCGAGTGCCGCCCACACCAGCCATGCTTGGTGTTACCAAAATACCTTCCAAAATCTACCACATATGAAATTGCCTGATTTCTCCACAGCATCACCAAAGCTGTGTGTTATCACCCTCTTATTTTCTATTAACTTGAGAGAATGTCCTGTTGTTTTAATTTTGCATTTCTTTAATTATGAATCAGACTGAAGATCTTTAGCTTTGTTTATTGGCCATTTCTATTTCTTTTTCGTAATTTTTCCTGTATTAGTTAGCTATTACCTAGTGACAAACTATCCCAAAACTCAGTGGCTTAAAACAACCACTATTAATTCTTTCTCAGGAGTCTGCAGGTCATCCGGGTGGTTCTGCAGATGCTGGCTGACTCAGCTGATAGCTGGGCTTGCGTGTGTGTCTGCGGTCAGCTGGTGGGTCGCTTGAGCTGGCAGGTATAGAGTAGAGCTGGCTGTGCTGGATGTGGTCTCTGCCTCCATCGGGCCAGCCCAGGCTTATTTTCATGATGATGGCAGGGATGCAAGAGAGGAAGAAGAAAGACTCAGGTGCTTTTCTCATCTCTGTTCTGTTTGTGCAGGTACTTCCATCCCATTAGCCAAAGCAAATCCCATGGCCAAGTGCAGCCCCAGTGTGAGAGGGCCCCACCCAGTGCCTGGACGCAGAGAGGCCATTGATTGGCACCAGCCGTGAAGTCAGTCTTGTGCATTATCTTTTGATTGTTGTTTGCCTTGTCTTGTTGATTTGTAAGAATCTTTTATATTGAGTTAATTAACTCTACACAAAATTCAGATAGTAACAATAAAATTTTGGGTATACACTTATAAGTGAAAAAACAAGAACAGACTACAGCATTGGAGAAATCTCCTATATATCTCCTTTTTTAAAAAAATGCTTTTGAATAGATGTGGACGTACACAGAGGCTAACACACTTGAGTGGGAAGCACGTTCAGCTTGGGTGTGGTGGGCCTTTCTATTTTGATTACAGTCTGTGATAACATTAAGGCAGGGCTTTCATCCGTGCCAGCCTGCAGTCTGCATGGGCTTTATTTTCCCTGTTTTGCTGAAAATCCACAATCAAC